GGAATGAGGACGCGAGGCTTGTCTCACTTGTGCTGTTTCCCCGGCCTTATAACTTGCACACAGAATAAGGTCTTTTCTTTTTGACTCATAGATATTCCAGATGATATCCTCGAGAGGGAACTCCCTCCTGTCCTGTTTCAGCCTGACCCCCAGCCAGGTTCAGAGGGCCTGCCCTTCCAACGGGGCCGCCCCTTCTCCCTATTCCCACCCGTGGATGGACCCTTGTCAGAAGACGTGCCCCTGAGCCTTGCCATTGACATTGAGCTGAGCGTGCAGTGTGAGGAGCAGACGATGGTGGTGATCCTGCCCCAGGAGAGGCTGGAGGTAGGCCTGGCGCCGTCCACCGTCCCGCGTACACAGCATGGGGCCCGCCAGCCCAGTCACTCTCTCCATCCCAGAGCTATTGAGTTGTCAAGCAGTTACTTGCACTACTGACACTGTAACATGCAGCTGCCTGGAGGTTCAGTGAACTTTGGGTCAGTCACTTCACTCGCCTCAGCACTTAATACGTCGTGGAACAGCGGAGAGCTGCTGAGCACCATGAAGTGTGTTTTCTAGCATTACTGAAAAGGACAGCCTATTGTTTTAAATCACTCAGGGCTCTGAGCCGGGGGTACTGTCACGTTCGGACAGCTAATAGTTTCTGTCTGTACATTGGTTTTGTGTGCCTTGCATCTGTAACGAGTTTAATAATGCCTTCCAAAACCTCTGGTGGTGTTCAATTATATTTGGAGTTTCCATAGAAGCATTTGTGCGTCGCAAAGCTGTCATAAATAGCAGAGCGTCGCAGGCCTGTGGCACGCTCTGTTTGGACTGCACAGGTTCCCCTCCGCCAGTGTGTGGCCCTACCCCCCCCCCCCTTCTGGCCCCTCGAGAGGAAGACCACATCACAGCCCTGCTCAGAACCCCGACCCGCTCCAGTGGTGGAAATAAACCCTCTCCCATCTTGGGGCCCCAAAGCTGCTCCAGGAATGAGCAGTTTGTGTTTCTGCTCAGAATAAATCCCCATTTTGCCAGGCTCACAAACCTCTCATGTTAATGGCTTTTAATTAAAGGCACATGAAGAGTTTCTACGGATCACATGTTTCTACGGATCAAATTCTTACAGAGCTTCCCGATCCCGTTAAAAGGCATTAATGGCTTGAGCAGATTGTACGCCAGAGAGCCGCAGGAGAGAGCAGTCGCTCTGTCAGTAGGCTGACATCTGCCCCATTCCTTTCCAGGCACTTGGGCTTAAGGAGCCAGAGGTCACCCTTTTGGACCAGTCATGCAAAGCCAGACACAACGGCACTCACTACGTCCTGGAGACCCCGCTGATGGGATGCCAGACCACCAAATTCTCCAGCCTTCCGGCCGTCTTCATCAACCAGGTTAACTAGCTTCACCGAGAAACTGCGGAGAGGAGGTTGTCTCTCAGCTTTGCACTAAAAAGTGACCACATCCTGCTGCATCTTTAGCCCTTTAAATATTAACCTTGCACAATAGCAGCCTGTTTTCTTGAAGCTCGAGCGTTTTGTTTTGGTTGTAAAGTCGCGGACGCTGACGACACCGGTGTTCCCACATCACATCTTCATCGTGTTTCACCACACTCCTAATGTTTCTCAAGACTCCCTGACCTCACTTGGCCCAGATATGACCACATATAAAAATGAATCATCTAAATGCAGTATATTGAGCTTGACACCAGTCTTGTCTTTCTCATTTTTTTATAATAGAATTAAAAAGCATTTCCTGGACTGGCCTTCAGTTTGATGTTGAAATGTCATTCTTGTCTTAATTCCCGTTAATTTCTTCCTGTATATTTTGGCAGCTCTGTCCCGTATTGCATGTAGAGTGCGAGTTTATGTCCTCCCAGGCACACAAATGTTTCAAGCTACAACCAGAGTTGTCTGGCGTGGATAGTTCTGCTACCCCACTTCTGACACTTCTGCCATGTGACGCAGGTCCTGATCCACCAATCGGAAGGCCAGGAAGAGAGTGGCTGGCATGACGACTATGAGGACATGGAGTCGGGTGACGGGGGCTTCCCCTCAGACGTGGAAGGGCAGGGCAGGCCTTTCTTGCAGCACAGGGAGCCCATGCTCTACTCCATCATGGTAGGCCATCCTCTCCGTGTTCCTCCTGCCGCAGAGCTTCTGTACAGTACCGGGGCTGGATACAGGGCTGACCTCATAGAGTACTGAGCTGGACACATCAACCTGGACTGTAAAAAAAAAAAAAAAAAACACTAGTAGTATATCTGTGTGCATATAAAACACACACCTCTTACAGCTACATAAGAACATAAGAAATTTACAAATGAGAGGGGGCCATTCGGCCCATCAAGCTCGTTTGGGGAGAACTAAATAGCTCAGAGTTGTTAAAATCTTATCTAGCTCTGATTTAAAGGAACCCAGGGTTTTAGCTTCCGCTACACTAGCAGGAAGACTATTCCATACTCTAACTACACGCTGTGTAAAGAAGTGCTTCCTCAAATTTGTTTTAAAATGTTCTCCCGCTAATTTCCACTTATGGCCACGAGTTCTAGTATTTAAACTAATATTGAAATAGCCATTTGGCTGAACAGCATTCAGACCCGTTAGAATCTTATAGACCTGGATCATGTCCCCCCTTAGGCTCAAGGCTAAACAGATTCAGCTCAGCTAACCTCTCCTCATAAGACATTCCTCTAAGACCAGGAATCATTCTCGTAGCCCTCTGTTGCACCTTTTCTAAGGCAGCAATGTCCTTCTTAAGGTATGACTTGTGTGACTTGCACCCCCAACCTTGTGTAATTAATGTGTAAGGAAGTCAGTGGAGAGCCATTGTATACCGAACAGGCCTGAACACCAGTCACACCCCCTGGTGGAGAGTCATGGTATACCGAACAGGCCTGAACGCCCCCCTGACAGAGAGTATTGAAGTAGATGTGGTGTACTGAACAGGCCTGAGCACAGGTGAAACCCCCCAGGGGAGAGTAACAGTGTAATGAACAGGTTGTACTAAGACAGGGAGAGCCGTCACTGCCCACCCGCGTCCCCCAGACCCAACAGAATCTTTCTGGCATCTCCACACGACGGAGGGGTCTTCCCTCCAAGCTCCATCCATAACGTCTGTCTCTTGAACTTCTGCTGACCTGATGTTTGGAGAGCTTCCACTCTTTCCATGCAGAATCCAATTCCAGAACCTCTCCTGCTTTAGGCCTCTTCAGATCCTCCCCCACCGTGCATTGTGAATGTCACACGCAGTGTCCTATGTGTCGAACCTGGGGATCTGTTCCCTCTTGACGGCCATTCTCTGTGTCCCCACCCCCCACCCCACAGTTTAACTGCACCTACGGGAAGCTGCCAGAGGCCCCACAGTCCAGGGTCCCCAAGCCTGATACCAAAAAAGGCTTGGTCAGCAAAGGTGTGACCTTCAGCATGGAGCTCTACGACTCGGACCTCTTTCAACACCATATGCCTGAAGTCCCACTCAGAACTGCAGACAACAAATCCATAAATGTGGAGGTAGATGACTTGGGGGGGGGGGGGGGGGGGTAGCATATTGACCTTACTCTCATGCATTCCCAAACACCACACATACGTGAACCCATTGAGATTCCTTAAGAGAAGAACTTTAGAATTTCTGTTTGAACCATTTGGGTTCTGAGCATCTAGACAAACATTTAAATGAGTGTACTTGGTCCTTTGTATGTTTAGTGATCATTTGTACATCTACATGTTTGGCTGGCACATTTTCCTACATGGCAGAATTGCGGGAGATGAAACATGGGGTTGAGCTTGATCCTCGTCTTGCATCTGCATGCTCTGAGCAGGTCTTCTCGGGTCTGACTCTCGATGTCGGCTTTCCTAGCGGCATTCTGGCCTCGGATCAGGCTCCTTTCTCCCTGTACGTTTCAGGAATACAACCACAGCTGTTTAGTGGTTGGAAAATGAAGCTGCAGGCCCACTGGAGAGGCCAGGTGTCTGTTGCTCATGCCTGCAAACCCCTTGATTGATAGTGAATTTTTGAGATAAGTGAACTTCAAGCCAGCCGGATGCCATGGAGAGGCCCTCCAGGCCACCAGCCGTGTCCAAACGCCCCCCCTGCAGACCTTCACGCTGTTTGGGGAGGGATCTAAAGAAGACTGAATCCCGTGGCACTTCTCGAATTTATGACACCACCAGGCCTTCCCAGCAGATGAGGTCCGGGTAGAAGGACAGATGTTAGGGAGCAGACTGCGGGCCACTCCGCCTCGCATCTTGAATGAGCAGCCTTTGCGCGGTTAGGTCCGGCAATGTGGAAAGGAAATTCTGCAGATGTAATGGTCTGTAGGAAGGCGGTACGGTCTGCTGCTGGAAAGATCAGAGAAGAGGCCTCACCTTCTGTCGTTCTGCTCATAAAATCCAGATGCCAGCTCTTGGACAGGTGCTTTCAGTGGTCAGCGGTCTTGGGGAACACCTTGTAAAAGGGTGGCTTCAAGCTGCCATTCATGTCAGTTATTGAAAAAAATTAAATATGGTGACTTTATGTGTCAACTCTGAAATTTAATTTTGTACCTCATTTTCCAGGTTACTATAAATCAAGCGGATAACGATATGGATTTCATGATCCAAGCATGCCACATCTCGCCCTGTGACAACGCCAACGAGATGCTTGACTATGCAATCATCGAGAACGTCTGCCCGACAGAGGACTCGCTGGTATTCCTCACGCAGGCAGCCGACTTCCTCCCTGTGCAGGAGTGGACTGGTACAAAGAAGTTCAGCTTCACCTTCAGGTCAAAGTTCAAAGAGACCATTCAGTTCCTCCACTGCCAGATAACTCCATGCACCGAGGGGCCTTCTGACAGCCGAGGACTGCCCAAGGTAGACGCTCTGTCCTTCCTGCCTGTGGGATGGGTCTTACTGTGCGTACTAACCTGGTCTCAGTGACTGTGCGTACTAACCTGGTCTCAGTGACTGTGCGTACTAACCTGGTCTCAGTGACTGTGCGTACTAACCTGGTCTCAGTGACTGTGGGTACTAACCTGGTTTCAGTGACTGTGGGTACTAACCTGGTTTCAGTGACTGTGGGTACTAACCTAGCCTCAGTGACTGTGCGTACTAACCTAGCCTCAGTGACTGTGCGTACTAACCTAGCCTCAGGGACTGTGCATACTAACCTAGCCTCAGTGACTGTGCGTACTAACCTGGTCTCAGTGACTGTGCATACTAACCTGGTCTCAGTGACTGTGCATACTAACCTGGTCTCAGTGACTGTGGGTACTAACCTGGTTTCAGTGACTGTGGGTACTAAGTGTTGTCACGAGAACGGTTTCAGAAAGCTTCCCATGGATGCTATACATTTCAGTGTTCAGTATCCTTGAACCATTTTTCCCTTACATTACCACACACTAATTCTTACCTTTTAGTAGATTTGACATGGGCATGATTTGTCTTAATACTGTGATAATTGACAGAGATGAAAAACTGGATTTAGAATTTGGGGATAATTTCCATAAAATCCATTCAGTGGTTTTTGGCAGTTGTTGATGTCTATAGAGAGTCCCTCCTTACGCACTTCCTTACATGCTTAAAGCACTCTTTTCTGGTAGGCCTTCCTATTTCCATTAACAGCTAAACATTTTTAATGGCTTATATAGTTTAGGGGAGGATTCCTTCATAAATTGGTCTGTCTTTACCAAGCTGCCCACGAAGTGAAGCTAAAACCTTCCTCTGTTTGTTTTGCTTTTATCAAGAGCCGCTTGGACTTTGTACATATTTGTCTAGAAATCGCTCAAATGTGAAGAAACCAGGTGCACTCCCTGCTACGTAAAAAATCCCAAAAGACCATTCTTGAAAATACCATTCTGAAACGCTCTAGAATGACAGGCAAGCCATTCGGAAGCCGTCTTTGCTAATAATCCAGTGCTGAGTAAGCAGGCTGTTTTCATCCTGTGTTTTAAAATAGTTTTTGTAGAAAGACAAAGTACAGTACCTACAAAACCCAGTGTCTAATGGAGGCAGTGCTCAGTTCCAAGGCAAAGCAGACGCAAGATTCACAGTATTTGGAAATGTGCAGGACAAAGGTCAGCATTAGACGGAATGTCCTGTTCGATCACATTCGCTGCCCCTCGCACAGTCATACGGGGAAGGTGTCCGCTGGTGTTGTGATGTGAAAATGTTTTTTTACTTGTATACTACTTTGGACAAACATCTACTTATAGATATAGTACAAATGTGCGGCTCTCACCCTGCTGTGTGTGTTTGTGCGTGTCTCTCGGCAGTGTATGTCCCCGGATGAGGCCTGCACTTCTGCCGACTTCAGCTTCATCATGTCCATGACGATGAACGCCGAGACCATCACCCGAGCGCTGGCGGTGACATCCAACCCGGAGCCCACAGAGCCACAGCGTAGGTTCCACCCCCAACCTGAGCACAGTACAGCGTGTCCTACACAGTGCGCCCCCCCCCCCCGATTCTCAGTGTTTAAAAAAACACCAGAGAGGGAAAAACACAACGTATCTCCAGCAGGAGGCTGCAGTTGTTTTCATTTAGCAGCCCAGAGGCCCCCCCAACCCCGAGTGAGGGTGGGGGCCTGTGTGGAGGGAGAGGGGCTCTGATGCAGCACTGCAGCCAGATTCTGAGCCCCTTACTATGACAGTACACACTCGCGGGTCCCACTTGGCACCCCAGCGTCCCTGACTAGCCTTTTACTCAGGGGGTGTCTCCCCCCCACCCCCCACATGAACCCACAAACACACCCCTTCCTTCTCTGGAATCGCGTCTGCCGATGTTTTCGCCACTGTGCTCCAGCTGAGCCGCAGGGGTGAGAGTCGTTTGTTTCGCTCTGAGTTTGGGTAACCCACCCCCCCGGATTTCTTCAAAGGAAACGAGCGCAGTGAAGAGGGTTCCCGCACTGGAAATGTATGTCTAGCACAAAGGTTTCTCTCAGGTGGAGATGGTAAAGAAAACAAGCATGCTGGTTGGGGCTGTTGGCCTCTTGGCCAACCAGCACAGCATAGGATTGTTTGGGGGCTCAAACTGCAGGCACTATCTTTAAATCAGACCCCCCCTTCTTAAGAGCAGTACTAAGATGGACATTGACTGCGCTAATATGTTTTCGGGCTTGATAAATGAGATGACGTGAGTTCGTCTTTGTTTCAAGAGCCACACGACATGGGGCCGCTTTTGCAGGCTTCAAACTGCCCCGCTGTCTGCCTCATCCGGCCTGCCGCGCTTGGTTTGGTGTCACTCCGCCCACCGCGCGGATTTCGGGAGCGGGAGTGTGGCTCACGTCACCATGGCGAGGCGGCCATGCCAGATGGGAGTGGCAAGGTTCAGGCTTTGCGGTTTCAGCACAAACTGAGGTCGGCCGAGATGAACCCACAAGCATGGCATCGTCCCCGTATCCCGCAGCATCTGAGGTCCCGAGAGATGCACTTCATCTTTAAATGAAAGCAATGAAGCAGAAAATCAAGCTAAACTAATCAGCTAAAATTAGGTTAACAAAAATAGTTTACAGACTCTGGGACACACAGAGCAGCGTTTGTTTGTTGTCTCTCACTCGCAGAGCGAGGTCAGAGGTCAGGTGCCCCCCCCACCTCTCGCTGTGGTCTCCCCCTGGTTTGGGAAGCCCCTAAACGGCCCAGTGGGTAGCTGAGCCATGCTTTCCCCACACACAGGTCCAGCATGAGGGTGCCTCTGTTCCCCCCGGCTGCCTCAGCCCGGCCGGACACAGGACCCAGAGCGCCTCGGTGCCCCTTACCAAGAATAGCTCCCATTGTTCGACACATTTAATCCCGTACCCGGCTCTGTCCAGCTCACAAAAAGCCACAAAGAAAGTCCTCACAAAAGTGCCATTATATCAGTGATGGGGACATAACTACGCGAAATGTGGCTTTAATGCCATGCATGTCACGGTTTAAACCGGCAGGTCAGATATCGACTTGTAGCGCATTCTTAAGGCGAATGCTTTGATGGGGGGTCACATAAATCCCTAGGAGCAGAGCGGGATGCGGACGCACGTCTTTTGGTCGATAAGGACCTGCCTTTGACTCCAGCTAAGTAACTTAAAATTGTGCTCAGAACATTTACTATAGATTTACTAAGGGCTCACGTGGGCCGGCGCCGTCTCAGTGAGACTCTGAGCCTTACCCTGCAGATAACGGGTGGCACTGAGTCAATGTTTGTCCTTACAGTGAATTCTCTCCTATTTCAGAAACTCTGTCCACGGTAGATCCTGACGACACCGTGCAGCCTAACTGTAAGTACTCCTAGGTTTACCGAAAGTCCGGGACAGTGAGCTGGGCATATCGGTGTAACGTAGACTGTGTGCTATGATGAAACAGCGAGCTCTCTTTGGTCCACAGCTGCAGCGCACGTGCTGAACACCCCCACCGTGGTCGGGATCGCCTTCGCGGCTTTCGTCATCGGTGCTTTGCTGACGGGAGTCTTGTGGTTCATATATTCACACACGGGTGAGTGCGGTCCTGCATGCCTCAGTCTCATTCGCTGGAATGGGTCTAAACAAAGTGTGGCTTCCCTCTTCTCCCTGTGTCACCATGGGATTTCCTCCAGGTAAAAAGAAACAGAAAATTTTACCAAATCAAACAGTGTGTAAAAATTTTGAAATGTGAAACTTAAAAATGTGACCAAAGTTAAGAGCAATGAAAGGCATTATGTTAAAAAGGTCCTATTGCATGTTTGCTGCCTGAATTTTTAATAACTATTCTTCATGACCTATTTTTAAGTCAACAGAGATAAATGTGTGTGGCTTGGTGGTGTAGTGGTTAGTGCTGTTGCCTCACACCTCTGGGACCAGGGTTCAGGTCCCTGCCAGGGTTCAGGTCCCTGCCAGGGTTCAGGTCCCTGCCAGGGTTGGCTGTGCAGGGTTTGGGTACTTTGGTTTTCCCCTCACAGTCCAAAAACACCCTGAGGTTTTTCGTGTGTGCTCAGTATCCCTGGTGCAGTGGTCAGCACTGTCACTCACGCCACTGGGCCCAGCGTTCATGGGAAGACCAGGGTTCCATGTATGTGGAGTTTGCATTTTCTCCCTCTGTCGCCATGGGGTTTCCCCCGGTTCCCCCCACAGTCCAAAATCATGCCGAGGCCAATTGGAGTTGGCAAATCACTTGTGTGAGTGTCAGTGCCCCCCTGGGTGGGTTGGTGCCCCATCCTGGGTCGTTCCCCGCTATGTGCCTGTAACCTTTAGGCTATGCACCCCCACCCCTCCCACCCTGTGACTCAATAGAATAAGTGGTTACAGAAGACGGATAAACTAAACCGTGCCGTTATAGCAATCAAGAATAAAAATCAAATGAATGACCCAAGAAATATTACCGACAGTGGATATGACTAAACTAGGCTTAAGCATGCTTGAAAAATCATCTAAAATCTCATTTAAGGACCACACTGTTAGTCACGTATGTAAAACCCTGGCATTTCTCTTCATTTTCGTTCACACTGTTTGTAAATGCCAGTCTCCGAGTCCTTGGCCGAAGGTAACTGGGTACTGAACTCAACGAGGAATGTCAAAGGCCAAGTCTTTTTCCACGTGTGCCTCATTGAAGCATATCCTGTTTGTTAGCTGACGCGAGCCCTTTGTCTTTTGTCCGATGGATTGTTTGTGGGGTGAGGCCCGCTTGCTTGTATTCATAGAACCAGCACAGTGGGAATCCCCCCTCTCTCCACCCCCAGCGGTAACCATGACCACAGAAGCCTGCACAAGAAAAGACACAATCCAGCCTCTGGATGCCAGGTCCATTTCAGTGACCCTCCCCCGGGGTGCAGAAGTCAACGTTGCATCCTGGCTGGTGTCTCCATTCTGCCTCACTTCTCGGCCATCAATATGCATATCCGTCCTTTAACTGGTCTGGTGGAAAATCCCCTAATTCCCTGTCAGTACAGAAGGACAGCAGTGTCCTGCTTTGCTCAGCCTAGATAGCCTCAAACCAACAAGAGAAATCCCTCAGATAAATAGGGTGAAGCCCTTTCACGGCGTAATGAGGATCTTTGACAGCTGTGCCGCATCAAAAGGCAGAGAACCTTAGCATCCTTTTGCTGAAAGGTCAATGCTGTACTTGACCTTGCAAATGCTTCGGGACGAGTCATTGAAGCTACTGCACACACAGCTGCCCGTCGGTCCAGTGGCATCAAGGCGAAACCATCTGCAGCCCCTTAGGGCTCCCCCAAGAAACTTGGTATCAGTGTTCTTCAGTTGAGCAGCGTTTGTTTGAGAAAGGTTTAGTTCACGGGGTCCGTGAGAGGTGCAGCCATTTTTTCTCTATTTCTCAGTCATTTTTAAACTATAACTTGATCATTCTGAAGGATAATTTATAGGAGGAGACATCTGAAAATTCTGGGATCTGTAGCAAAGAAGTTGGGAGGATTCCTACGATTTAACATGGTTTTCATCTGGCACAATGCACTGTGTTGTCTACAAAGTGACATGTTATACTGAGCCTTCATGGACCAGGAAGTTCTACTACCGTTGAACTTCATGGCCAACAAGGGTAACACTTCAAAGAGGAGGATGACACTTTTCCTTTTCCAACATGCATGACCTCCTGTCAGAGCTGGGAAAGTGATTACTTTTTTTATTTATTTTTTTTACAACAAGATGTCCAAACATGGACATTTTGTGAGACTTCAGTGTCCTTTATTTTTGAAAGTTAAAAAAAATCCAAGCTATTTAAAATATCATCTAAAGGATTTCAAAACAGCAAGACGTTCTCTTAAAATAGCCCCATGGTTCTCTGGAGGCTAAAGAAAATCAACCACAAATGCTAGAAACAATACAGTTTACATACATTTGGGCAGCTTCTCCAAATTCTGTGGACGATGCCTTCTTTAAATATCACAAAGGATTGTGGGAGCCATGACCTTCATCGCCGCCGCGATGGCTCATTCCCTCCCTAGCAGAAGTCAGAAGTTAGGAGAGGATGAAAAGCTTTAGTGGTCTGTTACGGAGATGTAACCAGTCCCCTGAGAATGGTGGCAGCCAGTGATGAAGTGCCACAGTGTCTGGCCTTCAAACAGTATTGTGAAATTAGAAATGGTGGAAGATATGAGAGGACATCTGGCCCACGATCGTCGATCCACGATGCGAGCTCTGGGGGGCTGCTGGAAACAGTGTGGCCCTTGGGAGAGGCTTGTTTGATCTACACCCTCAGTTGTAGTGCAGGTGCTGCTCTCACAGGAATACAGCCCCCAGATGAGCCCTTGGAGATGTCGGTACCTCACACATTGCATAATTGTGTCAGCCAAACACTTTCTGATTCCAACAAGCAAAGTTTTGACATTGAGATCTTATGAAAACAGGAAATGAAGCGCTGGGTGTGACATTCTTATCAGATGACTTCCTGTTGTCTCAAAGATCGTTTGTTAGACCCAGTCCACAGCTGGAATAATTTGAAAAAGTGACCGAAGACTTAAAATTCTGTAACATTGTGAATACTGTGTATGAGTACAGAACATAAATATTATTTTAAAAAAATGTACAGATGACTCCCCGTTCCAGATGAAAGAACATTTCATATAAACATACTTATAGCTCTTTTGTGGTTGTCCATCTTGAGTGCCTTTAAATATAAGTGCTGTTCTTCAAGAGTTTAAAAAACAAAAAAAAAAGAACAGACCTTCTTTTGAACCTTTATCCAGATGTGACTTCTTTACATCTCCTTCATGGATGCTGAGAGGTATGTGAAAGCCATTGCGGACTGTGCCTGGAAAGGTCACTCCCAGTGCGGATCACTGGCCAATGAGCCGCCCTCGACAGCAGGGCCGACTAAGCGCATTCTCCGCTTTGAGAGGGGGGCACTCTGTCATTCAACATGGCTCCGTTTATAAGGAGCTGCAGCGGTGAGGGCCAGTCCTGCTACAGAAACTGCAGTGAAGTCTCCAGCACAGCAGGGGGCAGCGTCCTTTTTCATAGAAGACGCCACGGGGGGGGGGGTCTGGCTGCGTCACCTTCAGCGGGTGGTCAGGCATCGCTCCTTTTAAACCTACGAAAGCTGACTTAAATTCATTAAAAGCCAGAAATAAATATGTAAAACGACAAAAGGGATGATCTTAATAATCACGGGTCTGCAAGCGGCACGCGGGATGTGGTCGTGTCAGCCTCCACCGCACTGCAACAAACCTGCATGTCAGATTCAACCAGAGGTTGTTTCTTCTGCTCCGTCTTTAAAAGGAGGTGCACGGTCACGGGGGTGGGGGCCCTCAGGAGCTGTTTTTAGCTAGGCCTCTTGTCCGGGCTTGGCAGAGCATCTCAGATCAGAGGAGGAGATGGAGCCAGCTTTCAGGGGGGGGAGGACACACCTCTTTTTTTTCCAGGAGGGGAATAACAGCCCCCCCACAGGGGACTTTGGCCTGCCCTCGGTCGACCATGCAGGAAGACAGGCCGCTCACAAACAACCAGCGGAAGGAGAGTGTTCTTGCACGCAGCGTGCGGCGTGCCAAAAATTTCAAACAAACAAACAGCTTTTTCCCCAAATGCTTGTAATCCCTATGCCAGGCAAACATTCCAGAGAAATATGCTTTTTTTTTAATTGCCCTGAAAAAAAAGGAAGATCCTCTTTCACAACATGGGAAAATGAGGATGAATGTGCATTTGAAATGCAATGAAGAGAGCAGGCCTGACAGGTGGGAAGGGAGTCGGGGGCCAGAATGGCATGGAGAGAGTGGCGGGTCCACCACATGGGGAGAGAGCAGCGGGGAGAGAGCGGCGGGGCCCCTAGATGGGGAGAGAGCTGCGGGGAGAGAGAGGTGGGCCCACCCGGTGGGGAGAGAGTGATGGGGCCCCCAAATGGGGAGAGAGCAGCAGGGAGAGAGCGGCGGGGCCCCCAGATGGGGAGAGAGCAGCGGGGCCCTTAGATGGAGAGAGCGCAGTGGGCCCACCCGGTGGGGAGAGAGTGATGGGGCCCCCAAATGGGGAGAGAGCAGCAGGGAGAGAGCGGCGGGGCCCCCAGATGGGGAGAGAGCAGCGGGGCC